GCACTTCGACTTATATACGGCTTCATAGTGGTTTACAGCCCTCTCTAAGCGGTTTACAGAGTCAGCATATTACCGCTAACAATCTGGGTCCTCACTTTACTGTCCTCGGAAGGATGGAAGGCTGAGTCAACATTTAGTTGGTGAGAATTGAACTGCTGGCAGTCAGCAGAATTAGCCTAGAAATTGCTAATTCAGCATTTGTCAGCAGTTTCCAAGACTCCCACTTCCTTTTCCTTGTGGCAGTTTCCTAATGTTCCTTGCTATATTCTTACATTTTTAGCAATTTAAGCAATCTACATAATATGCAGCCCCTCACAGAGCAGACTCAAGTTACCAAACAGGGCAAGGATCATTTATCCAATATTTTTTCCTTCATCCTCATTGTTTCCTTTTTTCCAACACTTAATGTTTCATGTTATAAACTGTGGGAATAGAAGAAAACAAGCTTCTTTGGAGAAACTGTTGCATAACACAGTGAAGAATAATGCTCCATCTGTGATGTCCTAAGGCTAGTCAGCAAATCAGAAATTATCGAGGGGCTTCATAAACTCTATGAAATAGGATTACTGGGACAGCTTCTTAGAGAAGCATACTTAGGTGTGCTGCTAATGCTGGATTATTTCTCAGCCAAAAAACTATCTGCATTAGGATGAGCCTTTGTAAAATTCCCAAACCACAAGAATGTCACTTAACATTTTACAAAGCAATGCTGTTCATGAACAGCTTCAAAATGTGTTTACAAAAGATTTGGCATTTCAGAATTAACAGAAAATGTTATATAACTAAAAGGTTGAAAGGTGTGGCCCAATAGTCTTAAAGGAGCAGTAGGCAATCAAACTTAAGATTTTCATCTTGCTTAGAAAATATGAGGTAATCACTTTTCACTAGGAAATTCTGCTGCAAGCCACACTGACATACCAGTGAATTGTCAGTACAATATGGACGCAAGGATGTGTCAAAGTGCATCAAGCATTTTTAGCAGAAAATGGAGAAGATAACCAAGAAATATAGATGAAATTGGAAAGCAAATCCCTAATATCTTGGAGTAGCCCCAGCTTACCAGTAGGACTATCAACATGGTTCAGTTGCCTTTTTTACAGCTATAGTCATGAACATCATTAGCCCAGCATCTAAAGCATAATAGAAAAAATCCATTGACCTAGCCATGTGCATCATGTAAAGATGGCTATTGATAACTTTGATCCAGCAAGCTGTAGCTATATTTTACTTTAATATGGAGATTGCCAAACATATTGGTACCACCTCCACATATTCCCAAAGAAATAAGTTGACATGGACAGAAGTGAATGGTATCCATCATTCTTTATTCCATAGTCCATAATAGATACTTTGGTTTTGAGGTGTGACATATTATTGTAAATACTAAAACAAGTGAAAATGGTATGGAACATGTGTTTTACAAACTCCACTTTGGCTTTTTGTATCTGTATTTCAGAAATAGAGTTTCTTGGGTCTTCTATCATGGAGGCAACTTTTAGTTGGATGATGCATCAGCAATGGATGATGCAAGTTGATGTTGTTGTATCTTGATCTTGGGGTCAGCCAGTTTTCTTGGTTGTTGGCTTAGTTCCATGAACCTTGAGATTCTTAATAAAGTTAATAATTGTAGTTATAGGAACATGAAGCTCTTTGGAGATGGTATTGTAGTCTTAACATTGCCTTACTTGGCTATTACTTTCTTCCTTTCTCATACAACTCTCTGCTTTTCTTTCTGTTGTCAATGTTTATTGTACTGCAATGAACATAAAACACCTGAGTGAATATTATGACTCCTGCTATAACACTTAATTATTTATAGGTTTTAAGCATGGGGGAGCTTGCCTGCCTTCCTGCCTATCTATCTAGCCTGTTTCTAAACTCCCATCTCTCTCAGAGAGCATCCTTTGTACTTAATGTGCCTGTGTAATGAAACCCTCATTTGGTTAGGAAAACTCATCCCTTCATTTGTTCTAAGAATTTATCACCTCTCAAATTCTAGCACTTACACCGTATTAGGCTTATGCTGAAAAGCAAACTTTTTAAAATAAGAGACAAGACTGTAGAAAACACGATGTTATTACAGGGCAGTGCCTGTGAGGAATCTTCCAGGTAAAAATTCCAAGAAATTGAATTTAGCTCTCCAATACGTGCTTCCTTAAATTTACAGGTAAACAATTTACTCAAGACTAAAAAGACAAATGGCAGATAAGCAAAAAAAATGTAGATGAAATAGTCTCTGAAGATATGGTTGCATGAACAGATTTTACTTTCCAAGGAAGTTTTAAAAAAAAAAATTGGAGCTCACAGAGCCAAGCAAGATTTTGTCAGCCAGTCCAAAGATCAGGATTCAGATTTTTTTACATGAATAGGAGACAGCAGCACACAAGACATAGGAGATCAAATTGTTGGTTTCCAACAAAAAAACATGGGTCAAAGTTGCTATTTAAATAAGGCTGCAGCTACTGTTTTCATTAAATCTCAACCACACTTGGGGTATCATTGAACAATCTTTGCTCTGGTCTGCTCTCCTCTCTTCTTATCAATTTCAGGGCCTTGGAAGCCACACTTCATCATTGGCTTGCATAGCTGTTCTGATGTGGCCTATATTCAGTCAACTTGGATGATCCCTGACTTGGTGTCTCCTGAAGTTGGCATTCTATTGATTCAGCCAAAACAGCTTTTTCAAATTTGCTTTGTTGGTCAGGATCCTAATATAGGTGATCTTGTTGAATTGTGTTGAATTGGAAGAAAGGTGCCCCAAGTGTACGAGACAGCAATAAGTCTTCAAAAGGAAATTGCGTAGCCTCTCTGAAAATCATCAAAGTTTCTCTAAATAATTTTGTTGAAATTGCTTATGCACACTGATGAGAGAAAGTGATATGGACATTTCAGTAACTTCTCTGTTTACCTACTCTTCCACAGTTAGTTTGTGTTTCCTTACTTATGTAACCAAATAAAATATAAATGCTTGCTGAAATTTGCACAGGGTTCTTCCCAGCATGGGGAGATCCGCCTTTGCTCAGATCTGAATAAACGTGTGACTTAAACAGAATTAGAAGTCTATCTCTTTGTCCATGCTGGGCCTGATCTAAAGAATGTGCATAACAGTTTGAGACTGTGACACTAATAGTAATCAAGAAAGGTAGGTTCATAAAAGTCTATTAATTGGGATTATTACCAGGACAAAGAAACTAGGTTATAGAATCTTGGATGTGTGTATACTTTCTTATTTTCTTAACAATTACATTAAGTCCCTTTGGATGTTGTAGATCCTCTTTCTAACTTCCTCTCAATTTAAGGGGGAACTGGGTTCCTATTTTTGAAATATGTCAATTTATTCCTATTCTGCAATGTCCATTTTTAGTTAATTCCACTACAGCAGGACAATATTATATCTAGTTGTGGTCTTTGCATTTTTGGATGGGTGTTGACAAACGAGAGCATATAAAGGTTGGAAGAAAAATAATAAAAACTTGTAAGGAATAATTGGAAGCATACGATAAATTTAGGCAATAGAAAAGAAGACTGCAGAGAAACATGATGGCTGTGTTCACGTATTTGAAAACTCATTAGAAAAATGGGACGGAATTGTTCAGTTGTTCCAGAACATTTGGCAAGAAAGAACATATTTACATCAAAAAGGAACAGCTTTTTACTGGATTCAAGAAAGATTTTCTAACAGTGTTTCTCAACCTTGTCAATTTTAAGGCACGTGGACTTCAACTCCCAGAATTCCACATTGCTGACTGGAATTCTGGGAGTTGAAGTCCACATGCCTTAAAATTGACAAGGTTAAGAAACACTGTAATAGTAAAAGCTTCTTGAACAGCTTGCCTCAAGTAGTACTAGAAAGTAGTGTCTGTTGTTATCTGATGAAGATCTGGGGCTATTTCTTGCAAATGATGCCAACTGCATCTTGACTTTGTCTATTGAAGCTTCTGTAAATTGAATCTATGTGGTCTGTGGCATGGATTGGGGTTTGTTTTTTTTTTTTTGGTCTTGTTGTACACTACCCAGAGTCACTTGCTTGTGAGATGGGCAGCTATATAAAATATATAAATAAAAATGGTTATGCATCCATTAGATTGCTATTGTAACATTGGTTTAAAATGCTTTTAGTAGTGCATCTCAATTTCTGGATATGTGTAATACTGAGAAGTTAGAGTTATATATTAAATAATTACAAGTAGTCCTCATTTGGGACCAGTGATCGGTTTTTAAACAAAATGGTCATCAAGTGTTTATAATTTTATTTAAGCAAGACACAATCCTAACTAATTGGGTGAACCCAAATGGTGGGGAATTTTCTGGAATTGGACACATGAGAAAATTGGATAAAAGGGCAAAAGCTATATAGGTGGTTCTCAACTTATGATCATTTTTTAAAATGATTTTTCAACTGTTCTGAACAAAGGGACTTAACAACCTGTCCCAGACATTACAGCCATTATATAACCCACCGTAATGTTCATGTGTTCAAAATTTGGGTGCATGGCAGCTTACCTGCACTTATGACTACAGGTGCATAAACCTATCTGTTCTCACCTATCATCTCCCAATTCTGCCCTTTTGGCCCCTGCTTGCTCTGCATTCCACCAGCCCAGCTGACTTTTATCATCATCTTGCTCCCACTGCTGATGCGGTGTGCCTGACCTGGCTGCTGGGCCAGGCTGGGAATTGGGCTTCACATACCAATAAATCCCAAAGCAATCCCTCAAATTGAGTTCCAGTCCTAGTGACTGCACGCAGAAAAATAGTTTGCTGTTGTCTTCTTCTGAAATGCTGGTTTGACTTTCAAGCCGAGCTTGCATCCATCCTTGGAATTCCTTGTGGTCTTTTAAGCTAGACTGCTTAGTTTCCAAGCCCAGATAATATATTCATTCTTAATTAAGATTAATATAATAAACTGTGGAATTTTTTTTCTATGTAGCTCTGGCCAAATATGGGGAAACATGCATCAAGTTTTAAGAACCATAATTCTTGTATTTTCTTTTTTTCAGAAAACATCATGTGACATTAACAACACTGAAAAGTCAACAACATTCATTAAAACCCATTAGAAAACGTAAGTATTAGATTAATATCCAAATATAATGACCTTTAGTCTTTGGCGCATATGAGCTATATGACTATGAGTGGAGCTGTGGCCTAGAAGTGAAGACACTTGGAAGATTGACAGTTCAATCCTAGGCAACAACAGATGTTTATCAGGGTGCAAAGAGAAAATATCTGCTGCAAACTCTGCATAGGCATCAGGAAGGGCATCCTGCCAGTAAATGCGCAGCTCCATTCAATCGTCCCAACTTCCTTCGAATAAAGGGATTAAAGGGTCGTAAAAAGGAAAAAAAGTCTCTACAGCTTATGGCAGCATTCCCCCAACCTTTACAGGTTGGCGGCTGAGTGCAGAGGGGAAGGGGATGCTTTTGCATGAGGGACAGGCATGAGTGTGCCTGCCGCTTGTACAGTGAGGCTATGAGCACCAGTGTCTGATGTGAGTATGAGTAGGGATGCGAGTGCCAATGCATGCTGCTTGCGTGAATGAGTCACTCTCTTGGCATCTCTTACCCACTTCATCACCCTCTGATCCTGCAATCTAATCTGAGCTGTCATTACCTTTCATTCCAGCATGATTATAGCAGGTTATTCTCTATCTCTCTTTATCTCCGTCTCTGTCTCTCTCTCATTACAGTGTTCTCTGTTTTTCAAATATTTTTATTAAGGATTATAAATGAAAAGAGTAAAAACCGGTGCAAACTATAAAAACTACAAATAGAAAAATAGAAAAGAAAAAAATTGCGGTGAAAAAAAGAAGGACAGGAGAAGGGGGGGGGAACCTTTCTTCTTCATCCCAACAGGTAAAAACAATTTTAGTAGCTTATCTACCATCTTTAAATACAGCATAATTATCTCCATACCTCATCTCTTAATTTAAAAAAATCAGAATATTTCATTAAACATTCCTCCCTCTCTCTCTCTCCCTCTCTTCCCCCCCCTCCCCTTGTCCTCTGCACTTAGTCGACTGCTGGCGGCTTGGGTGGCTCTGCTCCATCTGAGTTGAAAAAAGCAAAGGTGCAGCAGAAAGCAGCTTTCTTCAACTTGGATGGAGCAGAGCCACCCAAGCCGCCAGCAGTCGATTGAGTGCAGAGGATGAGGAAGAGAGAGAGAGAGAGAACGTTTAATGAAATATTTTGATTTTTTTTAATTAAGAGATGAGGTATGGGGATAATTATGCTGAATTTAAAGATACGGTAGATAAGCTACTAAAATTGTTTTCACCTATTGGGATGAAGGAGAAAGGTGTTTCCCCCCCCCTTTTTCCCCAGCATAAAAATTTGTTTTCTTTTTAGCAGTTCATTGATTTCATAAATGCAACACACTATAGTTTTTTTATACATAGCATAAAGATAAAAAAGAATATATGCAGTGTTATCTTCATTTTATATGTCAGAAGGGTTTTGTAGCTCCCAATGTTTTCTTTTCTGTGAGAAACGGGTCCAAGTGGCTCTTTGAGTGTTTAAGGTTGCCGACCCCTGGTATATATTAAAAACAAATATGCTGTTTGAGTAGGCTATATACATGTTTTAAAAAACTAGCAAACAAATAGGATAATAAAGTTTGTTATACAGCAATTAGGATACAAATAATTTTAAAAAAAGAGAAGAAAAGGGAAAAACTCCAACTTTTTAGCTTCCCCTTTCTGTGCATCTGTTAACTTATAATATTTGTAAACAGGCTGTCTTAAGAAGTCAAGCTTTAAATGACTATAATTACCATTCTATGTGATGTATGTATGGAAACTATTCTTGCTTAAATTTGATTAAATTTCAGTTGTGAATATATACTGCTAATTTTACCAAAATCAGAACATTGTGGAATGTGAAACTATTGAGATGTGTTAACTTGCCTATATTAGTGCTAGCATTTATAAATTCTTAAAATACTTTGTCGTGGAAAAACCCAATGGAAAAGACAAGACAGCAACACAAAACAATAATTCTTGCTTTAAGATCCAGAGGTTTATTTTTCTAATAATTTGGAACATAGCATAATAACATAACATCACTTACATTAACAACCCATTGCAATGAGGACCATATGGCATAGCAGATTCCAAAGGGACAGTTATAGGCCAATGGCCCCGAGCCAGACTTAAACCAACATTTTTATACTTTTCTACTACTGACCACCCACTCATAATTCTTACTTTGTAAGACAGTTCCCTCTGAAACATCTATACATCAGCTTTCACTTCATCTTTTCCCACGGGTAAAATATTTATGTTCCAAATAACTTATATAGAACTATCTACTTTGCAATTTATATTGCACAAAGCTCAGCAGATTACAAATAGTACACCCTTACTGAGAAACAACATAAAGTTCAAGTTAAAGCTTCAAATCACTTCTGTGGGGGCCTATTTCAGGTTTGTTCTAGCCCTATCTTATTATATGAGAAGGGGGCTATATTTTCATCTCCCACAACTTTAATGTGGGATAGGATGATAGCAGAAATGTTCATTTAATTTATATGGGGCTGGGAAGAAATAGCTTGTAAAATAGTATTTTGATATGGAGCTGTATTGTTTCATTTGATGGATATAAATAAAAGTGTATGATTTCTTTTTTCTCCTCTTAGATTCGTAAAAATTAAAAGAACTTTCAGCACAATGGACTGGAATGTAGGGACAATCAATAATTTGCAAACACATGGATCTTACCTGATGCCCCAAGTTACTTCTGCTGCTTCTGTTACTTCCCAAACAAACGCCATAATGCAGAACTTTTGTAATTCTGGAAACAACCAAACTTCAAATGTGCCATCAAGTGTGAAGTATATCTTGACAAATAAACGACAATTTCAACGTAACAGGGCTTCTAAAACCTTAAGGACAGTATTTCCTAAAGCAGTAGTGTCTAAAACAAGTTTTGGACCAAACAATAATTTTTATAATTTGTCTCCATCTTCACTTTCCACCATGACAGTCCAAATGGCAGCTGATGTTCAGAATCCAAATCTATCAAGGAACATGCACATTTCTTCCTCTATAGCATTACAGGGAAGTACAGTTAATTCTGTGCAAAATACGCATCCAAAGACAAATGCATATATGACTGTGGGCAGTTTCAGTAATCAGCCAATGCAAAATTGCTCAAATTCTATGGGAGCCTCAGTTTATCAGCAAACTCCCTTAAATGCTTCATCTCCAAAAGGGTCCCCAACACTGATGCCCTACTATTATATGAATGGACCTGCTACTTCCCAAGCAAATGCTACAGCATCCCTTAACTCTGCATCGAATTATTATTTACCTCCTCAGCAAAATGTCCAGTGTCCTGATTACTCAGCAAAGAAATGCCCAAATCTAGCTATTCCGGTAGCGATTCAATCACAACCTTATGCTTCTGATCAAATAAACCCTCCGCCATATCCAATATATTCTCATTATAATTACAGAAATGCAGTCCAAGCTACTAATATAAACTCTTCAATATCGGACCTGATGGTTCCCATACAAGCGAACAATGAACAATTTGTTTTGCAACAACCAACTGCAAATTTATCTAATGAAAAAGTTGAAAGTTATCATATTTCTCTGACTGATCAGAATAGCAATTTATATTCTGTTCGGCCTGATCAGAAATCTCAATCTCTGTCATCCTGTGCAGAAACAAATGTGGTAGGCCCCACTGCCTATGATGTAAGTGGACTAAAAACAGCAATGCAGCTTTCCAATGAATCAATAAAGTCATTTGTTGAAGTTGAAAGTAATCTTTCTAACAATGTACCAACAACTACAACAGTTAAGATTGCTGAACCTTTGCAACAAACAAATCAAACTTTGCAACTAGAAAAGAACATAAGGAATGAGAATTTATCTAAAAATAAATTTAAAAGAACTAGAGACAATTTATCACTAGATGTTCAAGCCTTGTATGAAATGAGAAATGCATTATTAAAACTTAAAGACAATTTTAGTTTAAAGCAAAAAATATATCTATCTTCTCTACAGAGTGGGCAGACCTCTAATATGTCTATAAATAATCAAAATCCTAATAATTTATTTCCTCATAATACCAACCCGTCAATAGAATGTACTGTCCAGCAGGTTCATTCAGAAAAAGTCACTCCTAATCAGTTTTCATCTAATTCACACAATTCTTCAGTCATACCACAGAAAACAAAGTTTCATTTATTGCCAATACTGTGGAATATGCTGAAAGGTACTGGTGATGAAAATATGTTATTTAATGCTGAGGTTGAAGGTGGAGATAAATACCAAAATAAGCATTTCACTGTTCAAGAGAATTCATGTACTGATTCTAAGGGTGATGCATTTGGAAATGTTAACACAGATAGAACTACTAAATTAAGCTATAAAGTCACTCCTGTTGCTTCTACTCAAGGGACAAGCACCATTAAATCTGCTCATAATCAATTGGAGAAAATATCAGCTGTACCTAACAGTGACATACTTAATTTTTCCAAACAGAATAAAAATTCAGGAAATGGTGTTCAGTGTTTAAATGATAGCATTCAGAGTTTGGTTCAGAACTCAGATGTTTCTCAGGGATCATCCTCAATGAAAAACTCAATGAAAGAAGAACATGGTAATTCTACTCCTGCATGCCGCATTCAGCCTAGTGAAAACACTTGTCTTCAGAAACCTACAAATAGCGAAAAGATAGCTGATACATCTAATTCTTCTATTTCCAAAGGAGTTGAAGCTATAACTGGAACTCATGGTGTAGAAACAACTTGTTCTTTGGAAGAACTAAAAACAAGCCTGGCGCTATGGAGAAAATGCCTTCCAAAATCCTTAAATGAACTATTAAACAGAAGTACTGAATCTTCCAGTGATGGGATAGATGGCAAAGGTTCCGCAAAAAATTTGGAAAACCTCTCCAATATATCGATTCAAAATTATGACACTAAAATTACAGTTGAAAGGACTCCAATTTATGGTTCTTCGTCTTTTGAAAAAAACCTTGATGGAATAAATTCCAATTTGCCAAAAGGCTCTGAACCTCAAGTAGCTATTGTTACTCCACGGGTATTATCAAAAAATAATTATATGCAGAAAAATACTGAAATCATTTATCCAGCTAATGAAGAAGGCAGTTTTCATACTTTAGAAAAACTTATATCTACAAAATCAGATAGTAATAATGAAGAAAAAAGAACTATTTATTCACCCACAGATTCCTATAAATATTGTGAAGATTTAAATGTGCACCAGGGAACAAACAAATACACAGAACAAAGTAAAACAATGAAAGCAGAAGTTGGAATAAATCATTCTTCTGATTTAAACCAAGAGAAAACAAATTCCTCGCCACTTGGATTAAAGCAATATGCCCTTGATTCAGGAGACCAACATCTATGTGAACTGATTACTAAACATTTAACTGCATCTCCTCAAAAATGTGTAACATCTAAAAAACATGGTCCAAATTTGAAGGAATCCAACGATACTGCTGAAGTTGACTTGACAGACAGTATGTTGCAAATATCCAGTGTATGTACTCTTGTACAGGGTGATGCATTTTATAATTCACAAATAGCAGACATCTTTAGTACTAGCCCTTTGAAACCTGCTATAAAGCTTTCAAAAGAACACATGGCTTCTTTGCAACACAATGAGGAGGGACCTGGCCTTTTGAAAAATGACTCTGAAGTTGGGATGAGTCTTTCAGAAGAAGGTGGCGTATCATCAGGAAGTTTATCCAAAGCTTTTACAGGAAAAATTGAAGACTTGCAAACATTAGAAAGCCCTCAATGTGACAAAACCTCAATGGAAACAAATGCAAGCAACTCTGAGAAACAAAAGAACAATGACTTTTTAGACGTTTCACTTTCAGGGGAAAAAAATGAGCAAGAAGTATCTTATAGTTGCAATACAGATTTGTCCAATAGTGAGGTGTTTAAAAATCAGGAGGGTCTGGGTGAGGCAAACAACATATCCAGTATTAGAAAAAAGGGGGAATTGGAACATACCCCGGTTGAAGGCAAGGAAGCCCATTTGGGAAGCAGCACTGAATCCTCTGTAATGTTTTTGAACAATCAGCTAACTGAGCTTTCAAAAGAATTTCCCTACGGAATTGGTTATTTGAATATGGTAAAGGGAATGGAAACCAAAGATTCTATAACTATTCTGACAGAAAGAGAAGATAAAAAAAATACTATGAGCCATGAGAAAAATCTTGATCCTAGTAATGCAGTAGAGCAAATTAAAATAGTAATCCTAAATTCCCAACAAATGAATGAAGTGTTTCCTGAAAGCAATCAACAATCATCTAACAAGCTACATAAATATGGAGATGACCAGACAAGAATGGATTCAAAAGATAAAAATATAGGACGCTATAGGAAGTCTAACCAGGACTTAAATGTTGACAGCAAAATTACCAAGTCTGAAAGACTTGGAAAAACAGAACGAACATATTGCTGCTTGCCAGGATGGTTAGCTTCAAAATATAATGTGGAGCCTTGTTCGTGTATGCTAGCTAAAGAACCTAGTTTGAATGGAAAAATTGATCTGTATTCACAATCTAAAGAGAAATCAAAATCCAATGAGACTGATTGTAGCCTAAAAAATGAAGTACAGAATTCCATATTGGACACAGCCAATAATATCTTTCTTTTGGGAGATCAGAATAAAAAATCTTTAAATAAAACTGAACCTCAAGTAAAAGAAAAAAAACTACCCAAAATAGAGCAAGCAACTACTCCATGTACTTTATTGGAAAAATCAAATTCACAAGAACCTAAAAGGCGAGGTATAGAACTGTCTCATTCTGCAGATTCCCAGCCTCTACAGAGAGAAAGAGTTGGAACTAATAAAATACACGACCAGATAAAGGGTAGAAGGAATATTTCAAAAAGTGAAGCACAGTATCATTTAAATACAGACTTCAAAAAGATAATTATCAAAAAACTCACCAAAATGAAATTGGATAAAAAGTCTTTTAATAGAACTCGGAAATCAAAAACAGATATTGATTGTCACAGAGGAATAGAAACCAAGAATAGTACCAATTTTGAAAAATACAAAATTAAACGAGACACCAATGAAACACACATGATTAAAGGACCAATTTCAAGCAGGAGTCTAAAGAGAAAAATGATGAAGGAAGAAAAGCTTACATCATTGGAAACTCAGCCTAGTGAGGTCACACACTCTTCAACATTAAACTGTATTAGCTTTGCTTCTGAAAAACATGAAAATTCTGAGCATAACTCTACCTTGGGCTCGCAAAAGCATTTAATTAAAACAACATTGCAAGATTTGGAGAAACAATTTGGATACAAAAAAGTACAAAATAATGAACCTATTTGTCCTAAGCAGCATATTGAACAAAATCTCGCGCAGCTTGTTAAGAGAATAAATTTAGAGAAATATGCATACAGAAAAGATAAGAAAAATGCATGGAAATGTCAAAGCTCACATTTTGATAATCGAATTTTTGCATCCCAGAATGGAGATAATCCTTCCAACATCCACTCTCCAGTCAAAGAAGGCACATTGGATAGTAGTAATCGAGACAAGTGGTCTGTGAAATCACTTTCTGATAAAAAATGTTTTAAAAGAAAAAATAAACACTCTCTTTTTCTGCAAAAGGAACAGAAGAAAAATTATTTGAACAGAGTTGCATTTAAACGGACTGCCCAGAAGACTCTTCATTTGACAAGCCTGGATTCTGTGCATTCCAAACCGGTTTGGCATGTGAAATCAAGTCATGGAACTGAGGATTCTGAACCCCACCAAAAAGGCAGCTCTTCATCCCAGATGTCTGAAGCAAACAGGCCACAAATGCTTGAATTCAAAATGTGTCCAGAAATATTATTTAGGAAGTCCACCTCTGAAGAACAATCTTTAGAAGCAACAAAGCTTCCTGAAAAAAACAGGATATCTGTTACAGGTACAGTTGGATTTCCTTTTAATCAATCAATGTAAAATATAATGGTATTTTCTTTTCGAAAATATTACAAATGCAAGCTAATCCTGCATTTGTATTGCTATTTCTAAAGTGCCAAATATCTATAAATCCCTTTTAATTTGTCTAGAAAGCTTTTTTCTTAATTTTTGGGTGTCATCAATCAGTAGAAATCTATAGCAACATGCTAAAGATCTCAACACAATAACAGTAATATCTGATACAGGTTTGGATTTTACTCTAGGCATCATCTTGTTCCGATGGAAATTCCCTAAATTTCAAAAACTTAATATAGATAGTAAAATAGCATAAATTCATATAATTTGTTTGATGTATTAGCCACTAGGGCAAATATTAGTCCTTAATTTACAATCACAATTGAGCCCAAAATTGCTGTTGCTAAGTGAGACAGTTGTTAAGTGAATTTTGTCCTATTTTAATAACCTTTCTTGCCACAATTGTTAAGTGAATCTGGCTTCCCCATTGACTTTGCTTATCAGAAAGTTGCAAAAGGTGATCACATAACTACAGGATATTGTAACTGTCATAAATATGAGTCAGTTGCCAAGCAGCTGAATTTTGATCACGTGACCATGGGGATGCTGCAATGATTGTGTGAAAAACAGTTATAAGTCAGTTTTTTCAGTGCTTTTGTAACTTCAAACAGTCACTAAACAAACTGTTGTAAGTCAAGGACTACTTGTATCTTAGCCATTGTACCGTATGTAGTCAAACTAGCTAGCTTTTTATATACTTTTATCAAACAACAAGCTTATAATTATTATTTACAGCAGTCAAAAGTAAAAGAGAAGACTGGTTAAATTACTGTCCTGTGAAAAGAAGAAAATCAGAAGAAAATGAAATTCAAGGTAACCATGTCTAAAACTTAGCCATTTGATTTAGGAGATGAGCAGAAGTTTCATCAATACCACTCAGATTGCCAGACAATACTTTGTTCTCACTTCCATTTACATTTACGTCTGTGTGTGTGTGTGTGTATGTATATATGTATATATATATGTAACATCCCAGCACATTGATATTTTTGGAATTACTTTTGCTAGACTAATCTAGCTATTAAAAATGAGATAGGTGAAATTAACATAATTAATCAATTGATAACAGGACAGATTTGCAATCTGCTTGTTGGCTTCTTAGAGAATTGTATCTAGCTGTGGTGGATTAAAGATGTCAGGCTAATTAAACGTGTGGGCAGAGCCAGATGGATTATTTCTTTGTAATTTGATTTTGAGGACTGCACACACAACTTCTCAAGGAGAGACTCCCAGTGTTAGTCTACAGATAAGTGAAGGGACCAATATGGGATAGGTGTGTGGCAGCTAAAATAGATAAGATAAAGTTGCTATGAATATATGAGGACAGGCTCATGGTCCCCATAGAGGAGGAGAGGGACAGAGTGGCCTTGTCCTACTTACTTTCAAAGCTTTTAATACTTGAAACAATTCAGGTTCATCCAGACTGTAATCTGCTCAGAATGGTCCAGCTGAATTTTCGGATACAACATATTTGTTATTTGCATGAAGCAAAACATATTCTGTTTGCATATTTCTATTGTAAGATATCAAACTAAAATAGTGGTATGGTTTTGTTGCTAATCTTGCAGTTAATGATGACATTCCACTTGACACTGCAATAAAACTACTAGAAGGAAATGAAGGATTCCATGGATCCATGAAGGATTCCAAAGCCACCTTTGAGACCTACCGGAAAATGCATCTAGAAAAAAGAAGTCGAAGCCTGGACAGCAGTCCCTTAAGCTAGGAGCTTTCTTTTGTGAATATCACATTTTTGACTGCTTGTGCTTATATTAAGGTCCTGATGACTCAGGCCTGTAATATGATGTGACTTCCATGTATGTGACCGTCCATAATTTATTTCATGCCTATCTTAAGTGTGTAATGATGCTTACTTATCTTAAGTAAATGGGTATGTTAATTGTTGGATTCTGGAATGTATTATACTTTCAACTGTTGGAGATTTTCCTAGGTACAGTTAAGTTCAGTACCCGGCCTCAGTTTCAGAAATGATGGCAATATCAGTTCAAAACAAGGCCAAATAGTTTGCATTTTTATGTAGACATTTTAAAGGAATGGAACTGTATTTTATTAAATGTTGTGGAAATAATTAAAATACTAACAAGAATTAGTAATAAGCCTTAGTAGGTTTATCAAGGAGCATTGGAGGTTATTAGCTGCTATTTGTTTTGTTGGGACATTAGGGGGGAGGAGGGTTCCAGGTAAAAGCAAAAGGGCTATTGTTGAAATGGTCACTATAATTTAAATGAAAATATATTTAAAAATTTGCATTCAGAACCACTTTAACAAGCATTTCATATGACTTCTTCCAGTTATTTTTACAAGACAAATGTCTCAGTAAGCTATATTAGCTAAATGTCACAAAGAATTGTGCCTAGAAACTACTGTGGTATTGAATGTTGATTTTAAGTGCCTAAATTTATTGTTTGGCACTTTTGTTACTTCATTTATTTTGGCAGCAATATGTATTTTGAGTAAATGTTTAGTTACTTTCAAATGCTATTATTTGTTTACAGAATTAAAAACATGTTTATTTTTACCATAAGTGGTTTTTGTGTATTTGTAAAAATTACTTTCTCAAATTTTAAGTTGGTTGGATAAGATTATAAATGACATCTTGTGCAAGATGACTCATCTCCAAAAATCTGTTTTTTTACTTCTGCTTTTATAGAGATTTGCTTTTTTGACTTAAAGTTTACATTGCTTTTCAGCAAAACAAACAAACAAACAAACAAACAAACATGATTGAATGATTTGTGGGACACTTCCAGTTTGGGAATGGCGCTGTAAGCAAATCTCTCACTCCTCTCCTGATTAAATGATTTTTCAGATATCTGGCATCCGCTTCCAAAGTCACAGTATGTGTGCCAGGGAGAGTCTTAGAATCTGTACTGTTTTTCTGGCAATTAAAAGAGAAAAAGTGACAAGAATGAAACACAGCAACAGTATTGAGGTATGTGATAAGATGAGTCAGTCTGGTATTTCCTCTGTGGGACACAATACTCAGGAGAGTTAAACAAAGTTTACTATTATTTTTCCAGAATGGAAAACAACACAGAATAGAAACCCATTTAAACTTTGTGGGATCATTCTCTGCTAAAAAAAAGATAAACCATACAGCTGCCCAAATCACGATGATTCTATTGATAACTTAAGTAAAAAGTTCTACAAAGAAATAAGGGCCATTGAACAAAGAGCAGCCTAAAACATAGGAATTAAACTTAATGGAACTCCTGCGTTTATGTACTTACTTATTTCTATAGAATCAGAAATCTCTTGAGCAAATCCTTTTGTGGGTTTTTTTAAAAAATAGGATTTCCCTTTTTTTCTCGGATTCTAATGAGAGACTCTGTAAGAAGATGCCAAACTCCTCTGTAAATATGGTCAAACCATCAAAGTTGGATGTAGATGTCATCATGGCTAATGTAGCTAAATATTGGGTATCGTTTGTTGTAACCAAGAGGATAGGCACACTATAACAAGTAACATTTTCCTTCTATTTCATTGCAGTGAGTCTTTCCCAACATGTATGAATGTTGTGTGCTGCGGGGTTTGGGGCTGGATAGCATAGACTTGTGCTGGTCTGATCCATTCTCCAAGACCAGTCCCAATGAGTGTTAAGTCAGAGATCCAGCCTAATTCTGCTGTTTTGTGGTGTGCCATTACTAGAAGATAGAAAGGTAACATGACATTTAGTTTAAACTGTGGTCAAGAATATCCAGGCAATGGTCTACAGCAGACATGTCAAACTCGCGAGGTCATGTGACGTCACACAACTTATCGGGGCGGTTTTGCCATTGCCAGCAATGGGGTGGACGCGGCTTCCAGATGACGCATCCAGCCTGTGGGCTAGCAGTTTGACACCCCTGATCTAAGGTAAACATTTCATCATTAGCATATTAAAAACATACCCAGAAGTAGAGAGCTTAGCTAATTAAGAGCACTTCTCAACTTACGAGATGTTAGCCTAAACTCTACATATCTTCAACAAATCAGAAACAAATAATGAAATTAGAAAATTCTGATACAAAATGTGGTTATATGGTATAAAATCAGCTTGTTGAACATCAGCAGGCACACTTGATTTGGACTTGGGTCCTAGGCGTACCTCTCTTTAATTCTGCACAGAAATAAATTGTTGAGTTCCAGTTACCTCTTTCAGTATGATTATTGGCTCAAATTGCTCTAGGTATAATAAACCCAGTGTTGGGCTGAGTCAACGCTTTAATGTTGCATCTTTCTATTTTTATTTTTCTGCTTCCTCAGTTTATACCTGACCCCTGCCTTGCTCCAGTAAAATGAACCATTTCTCAAAATGCCATTTCCTCCATTCTTCTTTGAACCTGCCTGTTTTATTGTCATTTAATTAAATGTGTTAAATTCCCCACAGATTGTTAATTGCTTAAAATCTCTATGTTAAGTCTGCAAACTGTAACTATTGAATGCCAAGTTATTACCTTTAATGTTCATTTATAAGCTATTGGATATTAATTGTAATTTCATTTTTGGACTTCCACTATGCATTAGCTTGGTTCCAAAAATAGCGATCAGTCCTGTTCAATTCAGAGAGAACTGAAACTGACTGATCCTAGTTTCTTTACTTTGTATATAATATATATTTATATCTATCTCCTGCAGAGGATGAAGTCATGCAATAAGCTGCTGCTTCTATTTATTTTGTAGAGATTTTCGGATTCATTTTTAGCTGCAGTTCATTTTTTATAAATAAACCATTATTAAATATGACTATCTAATATTCAGATTAATGTTTAAGAGTGGATTTTCACACTGATTATGTGGTTAATAAACATAACCTGCATGCCCGTTGATAAGAACTCTGAGAGTTGGAATCCATAACTTAGAAGTTTTTAAAACTTGCAAATGGTAAAAAAGGAAACGGCTGTATTTTCTGCATATGTCACAGGGTTTCTTTCTTACCCTTACCTTTTGGCAACTCCCTTGAAATCCAAACTATATCAAAAACTTTTTTTTAAAAAAAAGTGATACATATTTATTCATGTTACTCATTTAATCTGAATGATTAAAACTACTTCCCCTAAAATCTCGTTGAGTGAGGTAAGACAGAGGTCCCCAGCCCCCGATCTGTGGACTGGTATTGGTCCGTGGCATGCCAGAAATCAGTCCGTGCAAATCAGTGAAGCCCCATCTGTGTGATGCAAACCTATACCCCCTCTGGTCCGTGGAAAAACCTCTCTCCATGGAACCGATCCCTGGTGCCCAAAAAGTTGGGGAACTCTTAAGATAAAAGTTATGAATAATGCAAAACCTTGACAGGAAATCACTTTAAACTTGGTCAACTTCCTTTTTTTCCAAGTAATTTTATTAAAGGTTATAATCACAAAAGTAAAAAATTAATCTAAAAAAGGAGTAAAGGCAGCAAAGGGAAAAAATAGGAAAGACATAAAGAATAAAGAAAAAATGAAAAAACTAGAAATATAGTAAAGAAAAAGAAAAGATATAAAGAAATAAATCCCAACCTTCATCACGAAAAGTATAAGCAATTTTAGTAACTTTTCATCTCTTAAATCACAACAAACGATTGTGTCTTCCCATATCCCCTCTCTTATCTATAAACAAATCCATAAAATATTGTCATTTCAGTCTTGTTGTCTGCAAAAATCCATGAAGGGTTACCAGAAATAACATTTTTATTTATATTTCTTATTTCTTAACCGACCATCTCAAGAGTTATATCTATTTTAACCTTGATCAAATACACCAACTTTATATTTCTCCCTTTTACTTTTAACAAACTTTATCTTTAGCCCTTTCAAATAATGTCATAGAACTTGATTTCTTTTCATTGATTTCATTTCTTCTTTATCCCTTCTCATGAGATTCTTCAAGTCTCTTTTGTAATTCCCATACAGAAAAATTATCCAAGTTATTCTCTTGATTTATTATTTATCCCTTTTAATTATTAAAACAGCCAGTTTCTTTTGTATGTCTAGTGCATGGGTCGGCAACCTGAGGCTCCGAAGCCGCATGCAGTTTTTTGAGCCATCTCCTGTGGCTCCAAGCCTCCTCCACCATTTGCAGAGAGACAGAGACAGAGAGGCACTTGCGCTTCCCTTCTCTTTCTCTCTTTCATGCAGATTTGCCCCTTCATGGGGCTCCTAATTGGCCCTGCACCTGGGTGCCCCTCCCCCTGGGAGAAGCGTGGCCAGAATATCCCTTTCCCGGGCTGCCCCGTCCGAGGCGCACATGGCTGGGGAGCCGTACGAGGAAGCCCCAGCTTTGATTTTGATGGGGTCCAGGGGATAGCCAATGACACCACGAAGAGTAGCAGGCTATTAAAGGAGGCCTGGCTTTCGTGCGAAGGATCCATCAACCGCCACATTGACCTACACCCTGCGCATTTAGCTTTAAGAGCGTGGGAAGTCCATATTCGATCACCATGGAATGGACGACCCAATAATTGTAGTCCCATCCCCTCACTTCAGAGAACTGATACCCGTGAGAATAACAACCAAAGATCAGAGACCCTCCTGACCTTAAGGATGGAGACACATTTTCCGTGTATGAGGCAACCCAACAACCTTAGAGACCTCACCCCCATCGGTCTGAATACTCCCCACACTTGTATGGAAGCCCCCATTACTGTGGACTTCCTCACCCACTTATCTGGAATGCACTTGCACCCGTATAGAGCAGCAGAATTGCCACAAGACAGAAGGACGACGACACGCAGGTTCATCCCACCTCCCTATTCACTGCGTTCGAGGAAAGCCACGCCCCCTGCAGTTGCACGGGAAGAGAGCGCTTGTGAGCTCCCTGCCTCAGGAACAATCATACATCCTTGGACAGCAGCGTATCGAGTGATGAAAGAAGAGGGGGTGCCTATTGGATGCCAATTAGATCGGGCGCTGAAACAATCACCCCGGAGAGTATCTGCCGCCCCGCTTAGCAGACAGCAGGAATCATGGACTGGTTCTCCGAAAGGAATAGGAACTATTACAAGAAGGAATGAGATTGATGCTGTCAAGGATTGCAGCAGGGGGGTGGTTAGAAAGACCGAATGTGAAGGGAAGTCAGATAGTGCGAGTGCGTGCAGGATGTTTGTAATAGGATCCTGGAATAGAGAGCAGGAACATGATGGTGATGGATGTTGAAAGGGTGGAGGGGGGAAGAGATCCATCTGTGCAGAAGGTTTTAAGGGAGAGGGGTGGAAGCAACTTGGTGATGATGATCACACGCTGTATTGTAGAAAGACCGTATGCCCTCTCGAGTCACAGATGCAGAGAGGTGGGAAAATGAAAGCTAGTACACATGTGGATGGGGGGGATGAGGACAAACTGAATAATTGTGTAGCAATTGACACAGGTACAGCAATTGGCCGGTTGGGACCTGTTACGCGGTCCAGAAGTCGAGCGCAGGCGCTGGCTTGTTTATAAATGTCTCTCCCATTGATTCGTTTGCACCTTGATGATGTTGGCAGGAGCCAACGAAAGCTAGGTCTGCTTTTTAAAAACTTTTAAATGTTTTATATTTAAACTTTTAACGTTTTATAAAACTCTTTTAACT